CTAAGAGGAAAGTATATAGCAATACAAGCCTTTCTCAAGAAACAAGAAAGGTCTCAAACGCACAACCTAACTCTACACCTAAAGGAGCTGGAGAAAGAACAGCAAATAAAGCCTAAACCCAGCAGGAGAAGAGAAATAATAAAGATCAGAGCAGAAATCAATGAAACCAATGAAATAGAAACCAAAAGAACAGTAGAACAGAACGGGAAGATAGACCACGGCAGGAGGGAGCCTCCGTCAGCCCCTACCAGCAAGTAGGAGCTAGTTCTTTGAAAGAATTAACAAGATTGATAAACCCCTGGCCAGACTGATCAAAAAGAAAAGATAAAGGACCCAAATAAATAAAATGATGAAAGAGGAGAGATCACAGCAAACACCAAAGAAAAACAAACAATTATAAGAACGTATTATGAGCAACTATATGCCAGCAAATTAGACAATCTCGAAGAAATGGATGCATTCCTAGAGAAGTATAAACTACCAAAACTGAACCAGGAAGAAATAAAAAACCTGAACAGACCCATAACCAGCAAGGAAATTGAAGCAATAATCAAAAATCTCCCAACAAACAAGAGCCCAGGGCCAGAGGGCTTTCCAGGGGAATTCTACCAAACATGTAAAGAAGAATTAATACCTATTCTTCTGAAACTGTTCCAAAAAATCAAAATGGAAAGAAAACTTCCAAACTCATTTTATGAGACCAGCATTACCTTGATCCCAAAACCAGACAAAGACGCCATCGAAAAGGAGAATACAGACCAATATCCCTGATGAACATGGATGCAAAAATTCTCACCAAAATACTAGCCAAGCGGAGCCAAGTACATTAAAAGGATTATTCACCACGACCGAGTGGGATTTATCCCTGGGCTGCAAGGTTGGTTCAACATCCGCAAATCAATCAATGTGATACATTAATAAAAGAAAGGACAAGAACCATACGATCCTCTCAATAGATGCAGAAAAAGCATTTGACAAAGTACAGCATCGTTTCTTGATTGAAACTCTCACAGTGTAGGGATAGGGGGGAATATAGCTCAATATCATAAAAACCATATGTGAAAACCCCACAGTGAATATCATTCTCAATGGGGAAAATAGGTGTTCAGAATGATTTGACAGCTATCTAGCTGAATTCCAGGGACCAGACGAAACTAGGGTCCCCTACTTCTCCACCATCTTCCTCCCTTCTCCTCAGTAATATTTTAATAGCAACCAACAAGATATGGTAGAATGGCTAAAATTGAAAAGACTGACAATACCAAGTGTTGATGAGGACATGGAAAAACTGAAGTCTTCATACACTGCTGGCAATGCAAATTGTACAGCCACTTTGGACAAAAGCTTGGCAGTTTCATATAAAGTGAAATATGTACTTGTCCTATGACTCAGCAATCCCAGGCCTAGGTATTTATCTAAGACAAATGAAATCATGTAGCCCATAAAGACTTATTCGCAAATGTTTATAGCAACTTTGTTTGTGGTAACCAAAACCTGGAAATAACCATAATTATATCAACTGATGACTAGATAAACAAACTATAGTACATCCCTACAATGGAATACTACTCTGTAGTAACGAGAAATCACCACTGATACATTCAACACCATGACTCTATCTCTAGAATTTTATGTGAGTGAAAGAAGCCTGAAGAATAGGGCTTTACATATTTTATGCTCCATTTAGATGGCTTTCTGGAAAAGACAAAATTATCTAGGCAAAACCAGATGAGTGATTACCAGGAGCTAGCGATTAGGACGAGGGGTACAACTAAAAAGGGGCCACAAGGGAACTTGCTGAAGTGAGGGAAATATTCTATATCTTGATTGTCACAGTCATTACAGGACTATATAGGTTTGTCAAACCTCCTCAAAGTGTATGCCTAAAAGATGTCAGTTTTACTGCATATAAATTATACCTCAGTAAACCTGACTTATTTTAAAAATACGACATTCATGAGACATGAAATAGGGCACTATTCATAAAAAAGTTGTGCTGTGAGAAAATATAATATTTTACATGGCTCAGCAGTGGTTCTGATAATGTAGACACTGGATACTGATCTCACCAAACTTATGATATAATTGGTTGAGGGAAGTGTGCTTGGATTGAGTGAATGGAGAGGGTAAAAGAGAGCTACCACCTCATCTTCCATCGTATAAAGTCAGTGATGCCCAAACTGAAACTCAACAAGAAGTATATTCATAGTATTTAGTAATAGAGAGATAAATACTTTAAAGAAAAAAGTTTAAAATGTTAAAAAAAAAAAGTTGCCTCTGTAGGAAATTGGGGGGAATTGGGCCTAGATTTTTTTCATAATAAACTTTGAACTACTTGATTGTTTAAACTATATGTGTGTACAGTGATCAAAACGCATTTTTGGGTGGGGGGGGCACTGATGGCTCAGTTGGTTAAGCGTCTGTCTTTGGCTCACATTATCTCAGGGTCCTGGGATCGAGCTCCGCGTCGGGCTCCCTGCTCAGCGAGGAGTTCTCTCCCTTTGTCCCTCCCCTCCACTCATGCACTCTCTCTCTGAAATAAATAAATAAAATCTTTTCAAAAATAGATTTTTTTTAAATGACTACAGTTAACTATCCATTCCACGCTTGAATAGGCATAGTCTCTGACTCATCTGTTCACCACTACCTTCATTTGCTTCAAAAGAGAGAAAGTGCCAGGGGAGGGGAATGGGGGGGTGCACAAAATGCAGGAAGGGGAGTGGGAGGTCCAGGCTTCCAGTTATGGAAGGAATAAGTCATGGGGACAAAAGGTACAGCTTAAGGAATATAGTCCATGGTATTGTAATAGCATTGCATGGCGACAGACTACATGTGTGGTGAGCAGAGCATAACATACAGAACTGTCAAATCACTATGTTGTACACCTGAAACTACTGTAACATTACGTGTCAACTACACTTCAATTAAAAAATGATATATTTTTTTAATCTAAGAAAAAAAAAGAGAGAGAAATTAAAACGCTGAAGTTTTCCAGAACGTTCCAAATATCTGAACATAAACACATTGTGTGAATATCTATGAATCCAATCTTCCTAATAATCTCAGAAACCCAACACAGGTAGAGGTCTCCTTAACATCCATAACATCTAGTCCACCAACTGGGAGAAGACCACGAACTTACCTCCGTGCATCGCATCAACTCGGATCTTCAGTTGGCCAGGCCCTGTCAGCAAACTCTTGATGGCATTAAAGTCAAAGATGGTCCGAAGGAGGTTGAGATAGATATCTACTGGGTCCACTATCTCCACTAAGGATAGGAAAGCAAATGGAAACATCATTGACCATACCCATAAAGCATACTTAGAAGTGTAAAAAAGAAATCACCACCCTCACGGCATGAAGTTCTGATCACAATTCCATCATAACCCTACCCATCATGGAGGAAGCCAAGTGTCCACTTGTACGCTAAGTCACAAATTAAGACACATTCAAGATCCTACCAACTTTTCCAGTCACAAATGGGTAGACATAATACAAGCTATACATTCCTCTCTGCAAATGAAGAATCAACCACAAAATAAAGTAGTGAAGATAAAACTGTGCCCTTTTATCCCACCTTCCTTCTACCACCTCCCTTCCAAAGAAGGCACACACCTCAATGCTAGGAGGTCTCTTGGCACACCCAGGTGCCTCTCTTGTGGGGCTCAGCCAAGAATGACTCAGAAGGCTTAAAACAAATCAAGGAGTGACTTCAGCAGTGACCCTTATTTTCTAAATGCCATTGTGCCCACTAAATCCAGGGTTAGAATTGGTGATGAAAGATATATTCCTGAGTTTGTATGAGTCTCTTGTGTGCCCAATCCAGTACCCATTTCAGGGTGAATGCCAGATATTTAGAAATCCTCATTAAACACAAGTATTCTTCAATGTTTGGTACCACCCAGTGACCAGGAATCCCAAACTAGTCTTTTCCATTTATTTGACAGATACACACAATGCCAAATATTCATTACATTTTTCAAACTTGGCCATCAGCATATAATTAATACTAAGAAAGTGTTTTCCTAGAATAGTAAATACTTGCCTCTTTAGGCACTAAAAGTTGTCCATAAGCCCTGCTTTTAAGTTCATAGTTAAATTTTGAAACATATGTATGTTGTTTTTCAAATTTTTCAAATATTGTACTACTTTGGAACTCCGAAACACTTACACCTACACTAAAGATATTACCAATCCACCTTTAATAATTTCCAGTAAATTCCAGGTATAATATCTAATGAATGGAATTTTAATATGTTATATGAAAATATCCCTTCATCTGGTCAAACACCCATCTAAAAATATTTTTCCTTGCACTTAAAGCAATGTAGTATATATGCCCATTCAAATATAATGTAATAATTTTTTGATGAACACAAATCATTTTTAATCTTTTGGCCTGAGAGGGGTATTAATTTATACAATAAATTAAGAATTAATCTGTATGAAATGTATACCTAAAACTGGCTAAAATAGTAAACTTTGTTATGTATATTATACCACAATAAAAAAATTAATCTATGAAGTAAAAGAATATATTAGAAGTCTTACTCCACAATATAAGGTAATATTTTTGGCAATTTCATTCTGGTTCTTTAATTCTTGAACCACTTGCCTAAATATACTTGGGATTCATAGCAGATAACACATAGTAGACAGAAATGTAAAAAAACAAGGAAGCAAGTAGAATTCAGTGAAAACTGAAAGTTCACATCAAATAGTTCATGCTCTAGACCCCTTAAGGTGAAATGCCAAGGAATGATGTATTTCCAATTAACTCAAGCCTTGCTCAACATTTAAAACAGCAAGAACACAGCACATAAATTATCCCAAATGATTATCTCCAAGTTCTTCTTGGGAGCCAGGGAATTCTTCTACCCACCTCCTGTTATCCACAGCATTTTAGAAAACTCATCAAATTAGCAATATGGCTACAGAAACAGCCTGAATCTGAGCTCACCAAAGATATGGGTCTCTTAGACAGGTATAAAAATTGTGAAGATACCAATAGTAAATAAATCATTCATAACGTCTTCCTGATGGTAATGCCTGATTTTTCCCAGTCACCATACTGTCCAGTTTTTCCAAACATTGTAAACAAGCATATTTAAATCCATTTGTTTCATATAATATATCCCCTGTTTACAGTTGTCAAACCACTGTGTGTGCATGTGTTTGCATGCTCCCAGCTAGATTAATAAAAGGAGGCACCATTGTTTCCAGTATCACATGGCTTCCGGTTAATTTCTGCTGCTTAGCTAAGCAAGCAACTGACTCAGAATCCTTCACGAGAAAGGTAGTAGTGTTGGCTTAACAGTGTGACCCCTCAACAGTCCATTTCAAGCTCTTTCTTGCCTGTCCCTCAAATGCCATGTGGCTGCAAGCCTGGTATTTAATCTTTTTAGCTAAATTAATTTACTTGTCAAATAAGGATAACATCTTAACACAGACTGTATTTCAGCATATAGGGCACTAAAGGAGTAACAAGTTGGTTTACAGCTAATTGTATACGTTCTAGGAAAAAGCAATAGGATAAAAGAGGGGGGGCATAATATGCATATACATGATATTAGTGATGTTATATTGTTCAATATTAATCTGTAAAATTAAAAGTTATAATCTGAGTACTTCAGAAGTTTCAGTCACTCTCTCGTATGGGATATTTGGGGCAATTTCATTCTGTGCTTTGCCTCAATCCATTTGGTACTTACTGAGTTCCTTCATAAAATCTCCTCACCTAGTGCTTGGTATGGAATGGGGGATCCTTTGCACATTGAATCAAGTTGAACAGCATGGTCCTGACTTGGAAAAAAAAAATGCCTACCTTCCATGGGGATTTTTTAAAAACCCCATTACCTTGTTGGTTCCCTCCTTAACTACATAAAATATTCCAGCATCTTCACTGTAATTGATTAGAAAAGTGAAGACATGTTTTGGCGATTCACGTCCTATTCTTGGAATGCCATAAGGGAGTCAGCTATGATGTTTTTCCTATGTTGAAAGTGATCTAGAGTTTGAGAAGTCATTTTTGAAAGCTGCCAGTTCTGAGTATCTTGGCTGCTCTCACTTCCCTGTACACAACAGTCATATTACATCTGCTTATCAAGTCACTCCCCAAAGAGATAAACCAATCACTTTAGTGTGTGCCCACCCCCCATCCCAGAAAGCAGAGTCACCTCCACCCATGGAGTTATTCTCAGTTCTTCAAAATATAATCTATTACCTCTAAATGGCTTGAATTTGTTCTCCAGGTCAAATTCTTGTCTTCCAAGCCGAGATAGGTCAATTCGAAGATCAGGGCATATGGCATATTCCTCGATTGTTTTGCTGATCTGATAGATTTTGTCTGAGACCACATCTGGTGCAGGACCTACATTTGGAAACAGCACACCACCAAAAATATGTTTTTTTAAAAAAGTGTCTGCAACTTCAATCAGAGGAAGGTTATCCCCTTCACCACCAAGCAAAAGAAAGATTCATTTGTTCTCCAAACAATGGACAACAGTTCACCATTCAATTAGCCTCCATATTCCTTGTGTTGTATTCATCCATGATGGAGGAAATTTGGTCAGCCTCACCTGTTCTATATAGGCTAATAACCCATATGTTTGTTTGTCTGAATCCACTTCTGAGCAATGATACAGCTTCCCTAAAAATAGTTTCACACCTGCCAGGGAGACCCGGTTATGTAATCAGCTTTTTTCAGGATATGAGACACCAACAGGATATGCACTTGACAGAAGTGAGGGGATTCCAGATTTAAACTGCAGCCTCCCAAGTGCACCTAGAGAAAGAAAATACGACTTCTACTCCCAAGTCTGCTCCCTTGTTGAGGCAGGAGCTTGCCAGGGTTAACCGTTTTCCCTAACTCACGCTCTCTAATGACTTCCAAGTTTTTAAAATGAGGGTTAGCCAAAAATATCTGATGTGTTTCCTCACAAGGTCGAGAGGACAATTAGGCTGTGAAAGACTTTAAATGAACACAAAATCAACAGTTGGTCCACCTTCCAATTTTCTTTTTAATTCTTGTATCTTACTGCAAGTCACTTAAGATTTCTTGCAACAAGTCTGGGAATCAAATGAGTACACTGAAAGATCTGAAATATCAATAGATAGGTTTTGTATGAATTATACTCGCCAACTCTACTGTAACTTTCAACTGAAAAGAAATCAAGAAATTATTTATTTTCTATCCCAATCCTTCAAGCTACACTGTTCAATAGAGTAGCCACTAATGATATGCAGCTATTGAGCACCTGAAATATGGCTAGTGAAATTGATACGTGCTGTGATTGTAAAATACATGTCAAATTTTGAACAGTTCATAGAAAAAATCTAATAGATTGCATTTAACTTTTACAGCAGCATGCCAAAATAATATTTTCAGTATACTAGGTTTAAAAATGCATCGTTCATTTCACCTTTTGTTTTTTACTTTTTGATGTGGCTACCAGAAAGTTTAAAATCATCTCTGACTCACAATGTATTTCTATTAGACGGTGCTGCCTTAAAGCATAGCACTGTTTTTGTCTCCCAAGAAATGCTCGTTGAATGTATAAAAAGGAACAGCACCTAAACACACAAATTGTACACATTAACTGTGTGCAGATTTTTTTTGTCTATCTATTATATCTGAAGAAAGTTGTTTTAAAAATAAATACCCCCATTCTAGTGCATGGGAAAGAAGCCTAGTAGATTTTACCCATATTTCCTTGTCCTTTAGGAAAAGACTGCAGAGAAACAAAAACAAAAACATGGCCTTCCTCCTCCACTCCTCACCATTTTTTATCCTTCTGCAAAATGTAAAACAGTAAATAGTCTTGTTCAGTCTTTGCGTTTTTCATGCTTGTCCGATTAGAGAATGCATGAATATCTCCCTGCTCCGTTAGGTGCCACACTGTGTTCTTTGGCTGTGTCCCTCACTTTTAAAAAGCCTGATTTAATGACAAAGTACACCGGTTTCCAAAAGTAAAACAACTTCTAGCAAGTTTGTTTCCTATGATGCCACTCAACCACTCGGTTGTTAACCTCACAGTTCATCAACAACTTCTGCATCCATCCACCACTCCCAAGTTCCTTGACATCTTCCGCTCTAATGAGTTTTCCTCTTCATTTTAGTCAGTGGCTGGTAGAGTCATATCTTAAGTATTATTGTCTCTTGAAATCCTTTCAAAAATACCAAATTTGAGTGTCCTCAACCCACAAATTCCTTATCAGCCAGCTACCCTACTCCATACGTCTGCTGAACCTGCCCTCTCCTATATTGATGCTTATCATCACTTGATTAATCCCAGTCTATCCGTCCATTCTAGTTTCACTGGTCTCTATTCTCAGGCAAGACCCTAAGGTCCACCATATGAGCCATACCTTCGTTAGCATAATAACATGAACCTACATTTATTGAAACTTACATATACCACCTTTCACACTTTACATGGAATTCAGCACTCACTAAAAGCAGGTGAAGTAGGAGTTATTATTACCCTCATTTTCCAAATGGGGAAACTGAAATTTGAAGAGATGGAGATCCTTTTTTTTTTTTAAGATTTTATTTATTTATTTGAGAAAGAGAAAGAGATAGAGAGAGAGCATGAGAGGGGAGAGGGTCAGAGGGAGAAGCAGACTCCCTGCTGAGCAGGGAGCCCGATGCAGGACTCGATCCCGGGACTCCAGGATCATGACCTGAGCCGAAGGCAGTCGCTTAACCAACTGAGCCACCCAGGCGCCCAGAGATGGAGATCCTTAACCAAGATCCTATCACTGGTAATAGACAGAGGCTGGATTTCGAATCCTAATAGTCCGATGTCAGCTCAGACACCCGTAACGAGTATAAGCCGCCTTGAGGCTATGCCACACCTACACAGTCATTCCCCAACCCTGAGACGTCACCATCATCTGCCCCCACTGCTGCAATTTCCAGACTCCCACATATTGCTGGAGGTAGTCAAAAATTATACCAATTGACTCCCCCTAAGAATGAGGCTACTTAGCTTTTTGACTTCTCATGTATGAATCATCAACACATTTCCCAGAGTACCTTTTACAAAATACATCCCAAGTCCTTTCTCTCCTTGTCCCATTATCTGAGCAGGCAATTTTCTTCTTACTTTCTTTTTGAACAGGTATAGCAACTATCACCCCTAACTTTCATTCTTTACCCCTCAGAGTTGTTTTCTTCCCCATCCTTGCCTTCTCTTTCAGAAGTTCTGCCCTCTTCCCAGAATCTAGGCTCTAATTGAGCGCCACACCTTACTAATTCTGTGACACTGGTCAAGCTTTTTAAAACATTTTATTCCTCAGTGACGTCATCAGGTTGTTATGAGGATTAAATAGGATAATGTATGTAAAGTTCTGAGTATGGTGCCCAGCACACTGTAAGATTCTAAAAAATCCAGTATTTTTATTATGAATTCCATTTCCCCTCTAGCATCTTCCTCTCTACTTAAAAACATGCTCAGAATGGTCCTGTCCTCTAAATGCACTTTAAAAGCAACATAGTTCCAGATGTATTCTATTTCCCTGGCTGTGCCTACTAATTCTGTGGACACTTAGCTTTCTTTTTTTTTTTTTTTAAAGATTTATTCATTTACCTGAGAGAGAAAGAGAGAGCGTGTGCAAGTGGGGGGGGAGCAGAGGGGGAGAGAGAG